AAATTTCAGGGTTTTATATGAAAACTAATCATTCTGGAATTGATCATCTCTAATTAAGTCTATGTACTTCAGCGAGGATCTTGACGAGACGGGGCACGTTAGTTAACATCCACATCTCCGATCTCCATTCCCGTCCTTTTTCTTAGAGAGCGAGCTTTCTCGCCATCTTCTCCTTTTCAAAGCGAGAGACTAAGGGCGCGCATGATAACATTTCTATTCCAGAAATCAATTTCTGGCCAAAAATAGATTTTTTTATTTCTATTCCGTGGACGAGTTTCTGAGCAAAAATGGATGTTTGATAACGACACAAAATTTCTATTTCCGAAAAAGAAATTCATTTGATAACGATATAAAATTTCTCCTTTTCGGGCGGCTGGCGAAGGACGGCGGGTGGCGGTGGGGGGCAGAGGATGGTGGCCGACGGTGGGAGGATGCCGGCCGGTGGCGACGGATGACGGCGGTTGGCGGCGAGAGGCTGCCGGCGGTGGGAGGCGATCGGCGGCGGCCAGTGGTCGGAGTTGGGTGGTGGAGCATGGCGGCTGGCGGCGAATATCAGCGACGATTGCCGGGGGCGGAGGGCGGCCGGCGTCGGGCGATGGAGCACAGCGGTTGGCGGTGGAGGACGGCGGTTGGCGGTGGAGGACGGCGGTCGGTGGTGGGCGGCCGGCGGTAAGAGGTGGCCGGCGGCGGAGGGCGGCCATCGTCGGGCGGTAGAGCATGGCGGCCGGCTACAAAGGACGGCGGCCGGTGGCGGGTGACAGCCGGCGGAGGACGGTGGTCGGCGGCAAGAGGCGACCGTCGGGTGGCGGAGGATGGTGGTCGGCGGCAAGAGGCGGCCAACGGGCAGGAGGCAGACGACGGCGGCGAAGGACGGCGGGAGGCGGCGGTGGGCGGGTTGCGGCTGACATTGGACGGTGGCGAACGACGGAGGATGACGGTGGGAGGAGGCGGTCGGCGAAGGATGCCGGCGGTAGGCAGCCGACGGCAGGAGGCGGCCGGCGATGGCAGGAGGCGGCAATAGCGAGTGGCAAGGGGGTAACTGGCTAGTAGCAAGGACAAGCGATAAGAAGAGTTTTTATTTCTCATTTCTGTTCCAGAAATAGAAAAGTAATTTTTTTTTTACTTCTGATTTCTGTTCCAAACCTATTTCTGGAATAGAAATTTTTTCCAGAAATAGAAAAATGAAATTGCGTTACCAAACGGATTTCTGTTCCAAACCTGTTCCCGGGAACAGAAAAATAGAAAAACAGAGAAATAGAAATGTTACCATGCGCGCCCTAAAATATCCTCGTGTAGCTGTTCGAGTTATCATTAATGCATGACATATCCAAGAAATTAAGAGAGGATAATACATCCTCTATTTCTAATAGCTAACCAAAAATAATTTGGACTTTGCTTGCATAACGGTATTGTTGCTCTCAATGAGCGACAGTGCAATTGGAACCTTTTATTCTATTTTGTTTATCATGGGCGACCAAATACTAATTTGTCGTTGAAAATCATTGCTTTTGCATGTGTGCAATATTTAAAGAAATAAATCCGATGACATTATTCAAAGAAAAAAAAAATACTTGGGGTAATTGATTGCGAAATTTAGATGGTGGAATATTGGTCCAAAATAAAATAAATGATATTTGAGAATTCATAAATAAATAAAATTAAATATCCAATATATGCATAATATAGAGGGAAAATTCCAAAAATGGCCTGAAGTGGACTTTGTCTCAAATAAGGGCCTGAAGTGCTCTCATTTTCTCAAATAAAGGCTTGAAGTGGCCATATCAGTCTCGAATAAGGACCTAACCTTACGGCCAAAGGGTATTTTCATCTTTTACTTTTTTGATTTTTTTCCCTTTTCCTTTTCCTTTTCTTTTTTTTTCCTCTCTTCCCTTCGCTGGCCTCAAGCGGAGGCCGCCCTCGCCTGGGTGAGCGAGGGTCACCCATGCTGGTGTCGAACGACCCTTGCCAGACGCGGGCTGGGCGGCCCTCGCCCGACGTCGGCGAGGGCGGCCCTTGCCTGAGGTCGGTGGAGGTCGCCGGCCAGGCGCAGTGACGATTGGGGATGGAAGAAGAAAAAAGGAAAAAGGAAAAGAAAAGGAAAGTCAAAAATGTAAAAAAAATATACTTATAATTTTTTTTTTACTAAAATACCCCTTTTCCGGCGACGGAATAGTCATCGGCCAGCCACATGTCCTTTTTTGAGACGATTTGGCCACTTCAGACTCTTATTTGAAACGATTTGGCCACTTCATGCCCTAATTTGACACAATGTCCACTTCATGCCCTTATTTGAGAAAATGACTTCACTTCGGGCCCTTTTTTGAAATTTTCCCTAATATAGATAAATTGGACTTTTAATTTTTTCAAAGTTTTCTTTCGTCCATAAAGATACATAGAACACAAACTCTTTTATTTGAAAGAAATTACTTATCTCTCTTGATTTGGATTTTAATAACTAATAGAATAAAAAAATCAAATTACAATGTGATGTACGAAGTAACATGAATATAAACTGTTTCATACTAAGGATCACAATTTCCGATATAACAAAAAGAAAACATGACTTGAATTATGATATGAATTTCTTGAAAAATCCAAACCTAAATCGAACATGCCATAATACAAGGCTGTCAACTAGAAATTGACAATCTTTCATAATTTTTTGACAAAAAAAACCTTTTGTCATCACACTGGGAATAGGTTGATTACGACATGAAACGAAATGAATAGTTAATAATGATATAATAGTACGAGATGTTTTGCCACACTATTTTATCCTTAACATTATCGAAATTTGATGAATTTTTTCTTTCGGCTCTTTTTTCCCTTTTTTAATCATAAAAATTACTTTTTATTTACATCCTACTCTGTGTAATTTACTTGCCTCTAAGCAAACCCAACCCAATAGTATATGTTTCCTTATGTTTGTATTTTTGTTTTTAATTCTTCTTATTCAAGCAAATCCAACCAAGTGAGAGTTTTCAATTCTAATTTTTCCAAAAGAAACTGAGCAAACAAGTTTAAGCGGTCTGTACAAAAATCATCGTTTTCTTTAAATGTTTCAAAGTAAGGTTAGCTCAGCATTTCCCAAATATTTTTCAATTTTTGATATGCTTTTTGTGGGGTCATCAATTCGAATTTTTTTCGTTGGCATATTAAATTTGCTCTGAATTATCCTGCCGCATCATTAATTTTTGGGTTCCACATGCCTTTTGTTGCGTTTACTGATTTGTCAGAGAAGTAAATTACACTTTCGATTAAAGCTATGCTTAAGAGATGATAAGTAAAGGGCCGACAAGAGCTTGCTTCCCTCACTGTCTCTAGCAAATAGGGTACGTTTCACCATGATAGCATGACAGGCAATTAACACGAAGAATATACTCAGTTTTACTTTGCTTAATTTAAATTTTGCGTTATATACCCGTTGACTTTTTTCTAATCATAAATACTCGAATATTTTTCAATTTATAAATCTCGATATGCAAATTCGCATATATTTTCTCTATCATTTTTTTGCTTTCACCACGGTATATCATTTCTGATAGAAGGAGCTATCGTCACAGGTGCATTATTGTAGCATAGTCGTTCAAGGGTTTTTGCTTTCTCAAATTAGTATAAGCGAACGGGGCTTAAAAGGACACTCTTCCCTACTCATATGGACCGGAAGAGCTTCACTCAAAAGAGGGGTCGTGTCAGAGAATCGGCCGATGGAAATCGAACCCATCTCGAATTGGGGGGACCGAATCGACCCGATGTACACCCCTTGAGATCACGACACGCATTATAAATCTCAAAACGCAAGTTCACATCATGGTATATCATTTCCAAGATAATGAGCCATCATCACAAGTGCATTATATAGTGCGGGCGTTCACTAGGTTTTGCTTTCTCGAATTAGTAATAGCAAACAAGGCTTAAAGTACACTCTTCCCCCGTTCATATGGATCATAAGAGCTTCACCCGGAAGATATGTCGCATTGGAGAATCGGCCTATGGAAATCGAACCCGTCTAGAATTAGGGAGATCGAATCGACCCGATGTACACCCCTTGAGACCACAACACCCCTCTCCCTCCCCAGAGGTAAACGGATGTGTCTGCGAACTGCGATTGAGATCGCACCGTGGGCAATATCGTGATCTTGTGAAACGTAAATCGATTCAAAGCGCGCTTTCGGAAGATCGCCCCAGCTTGATACCATCACCCATCGGACACTTCAAGGTCCCTCAATGCTCGATCAGGAAAGAGATTCGAACAAAAACAGGGACAAACTGTTCGCGGCTTAAAGAGCAACTGTAAAAGCAAAAAGCTGTACATATATTGAGTGTAGTAATTGCAAGAGACGAAAAACTTTGCCTCTTTCTCCCTTCCTTTTGACCATACACAACGCCCAAACTGAGGCGACATGACATCACCTTAACCCTAGCAGCTTTGAAATTAATTGAACTCATGGGCTTCTCTTGAACCCGCCTTCCCACCAAACCTCTCTCCACCCCCAGAAAAACCCAACAAAGAAAAAAACCAGAAACACACGAATTGAATTATATAGTAAATACACACTCTACATCTGCTAGGGTTTCATCGACCATTTCCATGCTTGTTTCTGCTTTATCGTCTTTTTCCGTGAAATTCTCTCTCTCGCTTTCATGGAATAAACCAAGACAAAGACAAGCGTGGAAATGGCGCCACTACATTCTGCAGAAGTCTAGAGGGAAGAAAACAAATATATAAAGCCTCGAACTATTGAAAACGATGGTGTGTAGGCTTAGCAATGGCCATGCATGTGTGCCTCTCTGATCTTCTTGCCTCATCAGCAATAAATTTGCACGTACCCGTCAAGCCCCTTAAATTCCTTTCCCGCTGACACTCGAGGGGGAAAAAGAGGGTCGGTGCTGCAAAGAGCGCATTTCCTCTTACCATACTTATCAAAGAAGTTCAAACCACCGAAAAAGAAAAAGAAAGAAAACTAGAAAATGCAAGAAAGGTTTTCTTGAGTATACTTTCAGTTGTGAAGGGGGTTAGGCCCGGAGGGGACTAGCCTCTTGTCGACGCCGTATCTGGGGTCAATCTCGTCGGGAGGCGGCGGCGGGGCCTGGCGGTGGCGGCGGCGGCGGATTCGTTCGAGATGGAAGCACAGAGGATTGGAGTAATGCGGCGGATCTTCGCGGGACGAGGGATCGCAGGAATAATGGAGGTGGTGGTGGGGTTGGTGGCCGTTGTGGCTCCTCCAAGATTTCCCGAATGAGCCGGAAGAGCGGGAGATCATCACCGGCGTCCCCGCCGACATGGACATTACGGGGTGGAGGAAGAGAAGCAAGGTCAAGATCAAGAACTTGGTTGTAGCTGCAGAGTTGCAGGGGTTGGACGAAGAAGGTGAAGATGAAGGTCTCTTCATGGTTGGCGGCTGCACTTTGCTTCCGAGAGGCTTTCGGAAAACTTTCAAATTGGGGTTGATGTGAAGATGGGTACTTTAGAGAGAGAGAGAGAGAGAGAGAGAGAGAGAGAGAGAGCGAGACGGAGGTGATGCGGAAGAGTTTAATGCGAAGCGAGAGACACATGAAGGGAACATAAAAGAGCTAGCTTAGGGTTTTTATTTATTGCCCTTTTGCCGATGGGGGTAACTATAGTTGGCAAAGATTCAACCATCCCTCTACTGATAATAACACTAGTCACGTTCAATGTGTTGGTGCGGGGGGAAATGCGATCGTACCATGGCTCTACCGTATATTCGAGACCAGAAGACTGTGAATTTAGATTTTTCACAGGATAATGACACAAATGGTCCATGAATTTTAGTTCAATGTATAATGTGGTCCCTCAACTTCTAATTTGTGTAACGTGGTCCCTGAACTTTGGCCCAGTACGCAATGTGATTCTTGAACTTTTAATTTATTCAATATGGTCCCTGAATTTTTTATACGTGTTCAAATTAGTCCCTACATTATATGAAAATGTTCAATCATATTGCACATTGGGCTAAATTTCAGGGACCATTTGCATCATTTTCTCTATTTGTGCATAGTAAAGGGGAAAAACCAACTGAATGCCATCACTATTTCACTGCCTTCGTTCCATCATCTATAGTAACATTTAAGTCTCTTAAGTATTTAGCTTCCTTTTGTTTTCAATTTCGTGTCCTCTCTTAGTATGAAAGAAAAAGTTAGGATAAGGCCGAAATTTGACTATACGTAAGTGGCGATGAACCTTCAAACGTACATATCACGCATTCGACGGCGACTATGTAAATCTCACATCATCAAAAGACCCGATCAAATATGCGATATATGAGTATCTACTACTTAGAGCTTAATCGGGCATAATTTTTCATTTGTCCTTGAATGATATACCTAGGCCATTTCAAAGCATCTCCCTTATTAGGGACAAAATGGAGTTCTGTCTGTTCAACGATGCTAGGTGATAGATGAAATTTTTATTCGAGAATAATCGTGTTTGGCTCAAATTATAACTAACAATAATCCAATTAGACCCCTAATTCCCTGTGCATCAAATAATCGTTCATTTGGTTCGAATAGGAATCGATTGTATAATCCTTGATGTATGTATCTCGGTTGATTCATAGAGTTAAAGATAATTTAAAATTCAAAGCGTATATCTCATACCATCAATATATACACTATACCTCATTATAAAATAATCGATTGACTGGCTCGATCGCCGCAAATATTGATACTAGAATTATCATCGAGGATATTTAGTTTTGTGTTGGGTCTAAATGAAGCTTACTTATCAATTACTAGCATTATTTTCGGAGTTTTGATGTAGGGTTTCCATTGGAAATCAAGTTTCGAATTCTCCTTGGACGCTGGAAGCACTCTCCTTCCTCGCCATATTAAATACACTTAGAATACCATAGGAAGTTGTTATTCCTGTCTCTTCTCGTTCAAAATCAAAATATCATTATTTCACACACACACACACACACACACACACACACATATATATATATATATATATATATATATATATATATATATGAAAAGTTAAATTAATTGATTGAAAGATCCTAAAACCGGCATTCTTAAGATTAAAAAGTGTGGTGGAAAGGGAGGGGGAAGTCAGGGGTTAGTAATCCTTTTTATTAGTCGCAAAAAGTTAGGGAAAAAATTGTCCAAAAAATCCCAAATTTATTGCACTTTTGCCATTTCAGCCCTAGATCTTTTCACTTCTTGCCAATTGAGTTAATCCGGCCAATTTTCGTCGGAAATCATTGACGTGGACGCCAGTCGGCCACGTGGCGCTAATGTGGACATTTTTAAATAACATTTTAATAATTTTTTCAATTTTTTTTCCTTTTCTCTATTTTTTTGGTATTGAAGTTATGGCTGGCGAGGGTGGCCGACCAACCCTCACCGGCTCTGGGCATGGCTGCGAGCCCTCACTAGATATGGCTAGGCGAGGGCCGCAATGCCCTCACCCAGAGCCGGTGAGGGTCAGCCAACCCTCACTTGTGGCTAGCAAGGGTCACTGGCCCTCGCTTGTGGCTAGCGAGGATCGGCCACCGAACTTGCCAGCTCTAACTCCAAAACCCAAAAAGAAAACAGAGAAAAGGAAAAAAAGAGAGAAAAAAACCATAAAATATTTAGAAAATTATTAAAATATTATTTAAAAATGTTCATGTTAGCGCCACGTGGTCGACTGGCGTCTACGTTAGCAATTTTCAGCTAAAATTGGCTGAATTGACTCAATTAACAAGAAGTGAAAAGGTTTAAGACTCAATTGGCAATAAGTGAAAATGTTTGTGACTCAATTGGTAAAAATTGAAATGTTTATGATTGAACTGACAAAAGTGCAATAGATTTAGAATTTTTTGGACAATTTTCTTAAAAGTTGGATGACCCATATCTATACATGCTCATTCATGTTCCAATAATATTTCGTCACTTGTCAAACTAACATGTGACTGCTGGTATACACTGAGAAAATATTGTGTACAACTATTATGACACGTTGTATGTACAATAATCCATTTAGAGCACGAACCATGTTGTTTTGGGCTCACCTGTCAAAAATTTTAATATTTCCTCTTTGTTCCTCTCCATTACTTTTTCCTCTCCCTCTTTAACACTTGCTTTTCTTCTTTCCTCTTGTGTCCACCATGGCTCGAGTTCAAGCCCAAGGCTCATGGCTGCTTTGGCCATGGAGCTTGGGGTACCCTTGGCCACTCTTTCGAGCTCAGCCTCAAGCTCGTGGCAATGGCCACTTGAGCTTCGAGCTTGTGGCCATGGTGGCCCGAGCTTTGAACTCCTGTCCATGGCCCCTAGATGGAGATCTCGAGCTTATAGCCATTGCCACTTGAGCTTTGACATCTTGCTGCCATGATGTCACTTGTACTTAAGCTCGTGAAAGCCATGGCCGCCGGAGCTTCGAGGCGTATGGCTATGGATGCTCGATGAGAAAAAGTAATGGGGAAGATGATATACATCTTAAAAATGATCGTTCGTACCGCTTATTAAAATGAATGATCATAAAATATTTTAGACATAAATTATTGTCGATGATGAAATTACTTTTTATTGATTTATTATTTCAAGCGATATCAAGTGATCATTTTGTAGACAAATGTTTTTTCAATCATTCATTTTCCAGAAAATAAACGGAACCGAAAGATAGAGTAAATGGCTCGGGAATAAACATGTGATTGACCTAGGCTAAGCTTCGGGATCTAGTCTCAAGCTCTCTAGATACCATATCACCAATTCGTCGTAGCCAATCCATTAAATAGAATTGCTTAAAGTCCTTACAAACCAAAAAACTGTGATGACCTGATCTCCACATCTGGTGAACTAAAGAGAAATGTAAACTCCAAATGTGCCTAGAAACAAACATTTGCAAAGCCTAAAACATACACACACACAATCAAAATATCATAGGAAGTTGTTATTCATGTCTCTTCTCGTTCAAAATCAAAATATCATTATTTCATAAACACACACATATATATGAAAAGTTAACTCAAGATCCTAAAACCGGCAATCTTAAGATTAAAAAGTGGGGTGGAATGGGAGGGGGAAGTCAGGGGTTAGTAATCCTTTTTATTAGTTGAAAAAAGTTGACAAAAAAATTGTCCAAAAGATCCTAAACTTATTACACTTTTGTCATTTCAGTCTTAAATCTTTTCACTTTTTGCCAATTGAGTCCGTTCGGCCAATTTTCATCGGAAATCATTGACATGGACGCCGGTCGGCCACGTGGTGCTGAAGTGGACATTTTTAAATAACATTTTAATGATTTTTTTTAAAAAAATTATGATTTTTTTTTCTTTTTCTCTGTTTTTTTTTGGTATTGTAATTAGGGCAGGCCAGGGTGGCCCGCCAACCCTCGCCGGCTCTAGGCGAGGTTGAAAGCCCTCACCAGATATGGCTAGGTGAGGGTTGCAATGCCCTCGCCCAGAGCCGGTGAGGGTCGGCCAGCCCTCGCTTGCAGCTGGCAAGGGTCTCTGGCCCTCACTTGTGGCTAGCGAGGATCGGCTAGCGAACTTGCTAGCTCTAACTCCAAAACCCAAAAAGAAAATAGAGAAAATGAAAAAAAGAGAAAAAAACCATAAAATATTTAGAAATTTATTAAAATATTGTTTTAAAATGTTCACGTTAGCACCACGTGGCCGACCGATGTCAACGTCAGTAATTTTTGGCCAAAATTGTCTGAATTGACTCAATTGACAAGAAGTGAAAATGTTTAAGACTCAATTGGCAAGAAGTGAAAATGTTTATGACTCAGTTGGTAAAATTGAAATATTTATGATTGAATTGGCAAAAGTGCAAATATTGTGTACAACTATTATGACATGTTATATTTACAATAGTCCATTCAGAGTGCGACACATGTCGCTTCGGGCCCACTTGTCAAAAATTTTAAGATTTCCTCTCTTCCTCTCCATTACTTTTTCGTCCCCCTCTTTAACACTTGTTTCTCTTCTTTCCTCTTGCGTACACCATGGCTCGAGTTCAAGCCCAAGGCTCATGGCTGCTTTGGCCATGGAGCTTGGGGTACCCTTGGCCGCTTTTTCGAGCTCAGCCTCAAGCTCGTGGCAATGGCCACTTGAGCTTCGAGCTCGTGGCCAGGGTGGCCCGAGCTTTGAACTCCCGTCCATGGCCCCTAAATGGAGATCTCAAGCTTATAGCCATTGCCACTGAGCTTTGACATCTTGCTGCCATGATGTCACTTGTACCGGAGCTCGCGCAAGCCATGGCCACCTGAGCTTCGGGCATGTGGCTATGGATGCTCGATGAGAAAAAGTAACAGAGAAGATGATATATGTCCTAAAAATAATCGTTTGTACTGCTTATTAAAATGAATGATCATAAAATATTTTTATCATCTATAAAATTTTTAGACATAAATTATTATCGATGATGAAAATACTTTTTATTGACTTATTATTTTAAGCGATCTCAAGTGATCATTTTTTAGACAAATGTTTTCACAATTATTCATTTTTCGGAAAATAAACATAACCGAAAGATAAAGTAAATGGCTCGGGAATAAGCGTGTGTGATTGACCTAGGCTAAGCTTCGAGATCTAGTCTCAAGCTCTCTAGACACCATATCACCAATTTATCATATCCAATCCATTAAATAGAAATGCTTAAAGTCTTTATAAACCAAAAAACTCTGATGACCTGATCCCCACATCCGGTGCGCTAAAGAGAAATGCTAACTCCAAATGTGCCTAGAAACAAACATTTGCAAAGCCTTTGCCGAATATCTATTTTCGTCTCAACAATAGAACAACGGCGAAATTAAAATATGGAATCAGTAGCGCCCTTCTAGATAATCTATGAATATATCTATGTACGACGTGTATGCATCGAAAATCCCAAATAGGATCTCATCCGTTCAAGTATATTCAACATGACATGGCGAATAAACATGACAAGGATTAACACTTTCATTACGGAGAATACTAAATATCATTAGCATGATGGATTGGATATAGAATATTTCGGAAGCATATCCTTAAATTGACCGCTGGTCTTTCCTTAATCCCATTCCGAAATAATCCGAAACTCACACCACCATCCCTTCCACGCCAAAACAAGACCCGCGAACGCCACCAATTCGCCTGACAAAACCACCAGTCTCAACCACCACCTCCGCCTCCGTCGCCGCCGCCGCCACCGCCGCCGCCGCCATGATCCCTCTCCTCATCATCTCCCTCCTTGCTCTCCTCGACCCATCAGCCCAATCCGGACCCTCCCTGTCCGTCTCCCCCAAGGTCCTCTCCAAATCGGGCGACCCGGTCCGGATCCGATGGTCCGGCGTCGACTCCCCCTCCGGCCTCGACTGGCTCGGCATCTACTCCCCGCCCGACTCCCCCCACGACCTCTTCATCGGCTACGTCTTCCTCTCCTCTGACCCGGCCCACCTCTCCTCCGGGTCGGGCTCCGTCTCCCTCCCCTTGCCCAACCTCCGCTCCAACTACTCCTTCCGGATCTTCCGGTGGTCCGAGTCCGAGGTCGACCGGAGCCGGCTCGACCACGACCACAATCCCTTGCCCGGGACGCAGCACTTCCTCGGCGCATCCGTGGAAGCCGGGTTCGAGCCGGGCCGCGGCCCGGAGCAGGTCCACCTGGCGTACACGGATCGGGAGGACGAGATGCGGGTCATGTTCGTGGCCGAGGACGGCGAGCGGAGGTACGTGAGGTACGGGGAGAGAGTAGGGAAGATGGGCAAGTCGGCGGCGGCGCGTGCGGGGAGGTACGAGAGGGACGACATGTGCGACGCGCCGGCGAACGATAGCGTCGGGTGGAGGGATCCTGGGTGGATTCATGATGTGGTCATGAGGAATTTGAAGGGTGGAGTGAGGTATTATTATCAGGTGAGCTGGTGTTTGAATTGTGCCATAAGAGTTTTGTGATCGGTTTTGTTCTTTGATTATGTGTAAATGGAAGTTTTGCTTGGTTGACTGCTTGATTGTTCTTTTTAGATTAACGTTCATGTTGGTGTGTCGGGTCAGCAGTTTCATTTCTTATTGATGGTTAAGAGAAAATGGTATTGTTTTGAATTTGCTGTTGTCATGGTGGTTTGGATACATGTTGATACTGGTTTAGTTGCTAGTTGCTGCTGCCTCACCACCTTCGAAATGCGCGGTGAATTCCATCATTTCGCATGGTCTTGTCCATGAACGGTATGGTTCGTGCAGAATTCTCAGTGTGAATGCATGATTGTTGGATCTCTCAGACGAGAAATACATGCGATAGAATCATAGAATCTGTCATGATGTTAATGGGGCTTGTCTGCTATCTCAGTAGAATTTGGTGCTCCGTGTGATTAATCTTTTCAGTTACAGAAGTATCATAACCGATATAAGCATGCTTGAAATTCGATTGGGACTTGCTCATCTCAGTGATTGGAATGTCTATGCTCTCACAACAGGTTGGGAGCGACTCTGGTGGTTGGAGTAAAACGCACAGCTTTATGCCTAGGGCTAAAGACTCGGATGAAACAATAGCCTTTTTATTTGGAGATTTGGGAACTGCAACACCTTACACGACATTCTACCGCACACAAGATGAGAGCATATCGACCATAAAGTGGATCCTCCGCGACATTGAAGCTCTTGGGAACAGGCCCAGTTTCGTGTCTCACATTGGAGATATTAGCTATGCGAGAGGTTACTCTTGGTTGTGGGACCATTTCTTCACTCAGATTGAGCCCGTCGCTGCCCAAGTTCCATACCATGTGTGTATTGGCAATCACGAGTACGATTGGCCATTGCAACCTTGGAAGCCTGAATGGGCCCAAATGATATATGGAACGGATGGGGGTGGTGAATGTGGGGTACCTTACAGTCTTAGGTTCAACATGCCTGGCGATTCTTCGGAACCCACAGGAATGAAGGCCCCGGCCACCCGCAACCTCTACTATTCATTTGATATGGGAGTGGTCCACTTTCTTTACATGTCTACTGAGACCAATTTTCTTCCTGGAAGCAAGCAGTATGATTTCATAAAGACTGATTTGGAATCGGTGGATCGGAAGAGGACCCCTTTCGTGATAGTTCAAGGGCATAGACCGATGTACACAACCAGCTATGAATCTGGAGATAGATCCATTAGGGAGAAAATGATGGAGCACTTAGAACCTTTGCTCGTGAAGAATAAAGTGACCCTTGTATTGTGGGGCCACGTCCATAGATATGAAAGGTTTTGTCCGATTAATAACTTCACCTGTGGAAGTACAGATCCAGCTGAGGATAATTGGGAGGCACTGCCGATTCATCTCGTGATTGGAATGGCAGGCCAGGATTGGCAACCCGTCTGGCAGCCCAGACCAGATCATCTGAAGGATCCTATTTACCCGCAACCTCAAAGGTCGTTGTACCGAGGGGGTGAATTCGGGTACACTAGGCTTGTAGCTACAAGGGAGAAGCTTGTGCTTTCTTATGTTGGAAATCATGATGGTGAGGTGCATGACTCGGTGGAAATTCTGGCATCTGGACAGGTTCTTAACAGTGGTACTAGTGGTGCTGAACCGAAGATAGAGGTGTCTGAGTCCTTTTTCTCATGGTTTGTTAAAGGTGCAAGCGTGTTGGTGCTTGGAGCATTTGTGGGGTATATTCTTGGTTATATCTCACATGCCAGGAGAAAAGCTGCGTCCCAAAGGAGCTGGACTCCTGTGAAGAGCGATGATGCGTGAATACGTTAAATTGTTATGCTGGTCAATGGAAGAGGGAGCTGGACTCATGTGAAGAGCAATGATATATGAAGACTATAAATTGTTATGCCGGTCAATGGAAGAGGCAGATGGTGTTTTCTTCTTTGATATCTCAGTATATTGTACTTGCAAGCATTCAGGTGTCAGAATCGCTCATTTGTATGTGTATGGTGAAGGTAGGATGCCTCCTTGGAAGGAAGTTTGTATCATATGACTTTTCTCTTCTCTGTAAATACACAGCATTTAGTATCCTCTACACGATTTCGTGTCTTGGGAAGTACTGAACTTAAGAATAAGTCTTCATTTCAGCATGAACGAGAAGTGATGAATGGCGATGCCTTTGTTTTTATTGTTCATATTAAAGAAGCACTGAATTTGCTAGAATCTCTACTGTAAATTATAAATGAGAAACAAGCACTGAATCCATTCCAGCTGTAGAATGAATAATAGAGGCTTATGTATAATTCTTGACAATGTACATCAAGCCGAAAGCTTCTATAGAGGAATGAGAACTCAGCGGTCAACGCATGTTTGAACTTTTAATTTGGGGCAATATGCACTTCTGACTTCTGATAAAGTTAACCAATGGGAAATTATTAAGAAAGACGTTAAATGTTCTTCTTAACACATTGCCTGCCACTCTTGCCTGTTTATAAGCATATAATCTGCTGGCCTGACTAGATGTTGATGCAAATCTAGGAACTGATCAGGGTAAAACCATTCGCCTCTCAGCTTTGTTCGCTTTCTCCATTTTGTAGTTTGATTTGGAGATGCTACCGAGTGTCGTCATGCATTCTTTTGCTATTACAGCTTTTATTGAGGGAGACATGTGCCTTATTAATTCGGTTCATGCCATCGTCCTGTGGAAACTTTTTGGTAAAGACAACAGTTTGCAATAAAAAAGAGAGGAGAGAATCATAGAGAATGCCATTCAAACTGATATATTTACACTCCAGTCGTTTTCTATTGGTTCTGTCCGTTGTGTATTTGATGCATTGTTTGGAACTACATTTAGCATATGAAAATAGCTGTGCAGTTTGGTTATATGGGGCACTGATTATGCAAATTGTGCTGTCAACCATTCGTCACCCATATTGAGTGCCAACATAAGGGCCAAATGTATTCCAGTAACAAGAAATTCGGGAATCTGGAAGATCACCAAACAAGAATAATTCAATTTGCAGAAAGATTAGTTCATTTCATTTGCTGATGTAGTACAAGCTATCAAAAAATATTCTTCGTTTTCGGCTTAGTAAAACAAAGAGAGAGAACACACTATAACAGCCATAGGAAGGCAAATCAGAGGGTATGCCCGGGAAGCCTGCTCTTGCTCTCCCTTCATTTGCCAAGCAGACGACGAGTTCGTTGGTTGGCACCTTTCACTCGAGAGTTCAGCTCATCCACATCGTCGCTAAGATGGTCGAGAGCTTTGTTTTGCCTGTATGCACCACATTAGCTCTAAGTGTAAAGTAGAGTTCTATGCCTCTAAGAGAATGTTGCAAGGGTCAGGAAAACCGCGGCAAACAATCAAACTTCACCAAACGATAAAATAATCTTGGTCAAACTTCAACCTCAAAGCTAGCAAGTGTATCAGTTCAGGGACATTTAATAGGTCAAGTAGGAAAGGACATGGATATAAATTAGGACATATTCAGACCTGTCAAGTTCGCCTCCCATGTCAACAGCCATATTCTTTAGTTCACCTAAGACATTGCTAAGATCCGATAAAGCATCATCTTGCTTTGCCTTCTCAACCTGCCGTCCGAAAAATCCTTGTGAACAGATGCTCAAAAGACTGCTATCTGAGTGAAACAAACTTGTTAAACCACAAACCTCGACTTTCTGCAATGCATTTGTTGGTTCAGGCGGAGGCGTATGGCTAGTCCCTTTCCCTTTCGGCACAGGAGCCAAGCCCAACTTCTCTCTCTGTTTTTTGTCACTTTTTTTTGATGAATTGTCTGTCATGCCGGGAGGCAAAAGCCAATGAGTCGATGTAATCGTCACGATAAGCACAACTACTCAATTTTCAACAGAAGCTGTGCGTAATATTCACTTCGTTTTGGCCACACTCAAATAAAGAAACCACAAGAAGGCAATTGTGTAAGAAACCTGTTGTGACTACAGGCCCTGAAATTTCTCGGGTCTTCTTCGGCTTCCAAGTCTTGGAGAACATTCCTCCAAGGTTTCCCAAGATCTTTTCCCCCTGGTATTCACCAAAACAGTGTATGGGTAACCATTAATTATCACAATTGAAGTCGCTCAAGAAACAATATCAAGGTGTCATCTGGATGTAAAACAGATTGTTACATAAAGAAACTGACAGTACCAGGCAGCGGAAAACTATGCACAATTTTTTCTAGATCATATTCTTAGCGTGCCGAGTTCACAAAATGTGAATATTACCTTGCTCAAGTCCTTATCTGTATCGGCAACCATATCGTGGGTCCTCCTGATCTGCTCGCCCTGTTGATGCAACATGTCAAGGGTTCTCGTGGCATCCTCTCTAATATCCTCAGCAATCTTAAGGCAGTTGTTGACAGTACTCGTAGTCTCCTCTGCCTTGTACACGGCATAGTTCTCTAATTCTTGCACGCTCTGATTCTCTAGCCCTCCCGATTCGCGAAAGTCATTCTTATACTTATTCGGTGGTGTTGATGAAGCAGAGTAAGAGGATGCGGAGGAGGGAACTCCTCTTCGTCCTCTTCGTCCATTATTATCATCATCAAAAGGATTGCTACCAAGATTCGGCACAATTAGCACAGGTTCTGAATTTGCTCGCCTCGAAGGTTTAATGGTCGATTTGGTGTCAGATTCGGTATCGGAATCAAAAGGGTTTGTTCCTGAAGACAGAGGGTCCACAGAGTTTTGCTTGGAAACCTTATTGACCGGTGATTTAAAAAATCCAAACATTTTCGTAGATCAGAAGAAGGTGCCTTTCTCAATACGGTGATGTAGTCAACAATGAAAATTCCAAGAACCTGACGAAGCAAAACAAGAACAGTTACTCGCGAAGCTAATTCCAAGAATTCAAGTGCATCTTCATGATGGGGGATACACGAATGGAGTGGAAAAATGATGGTTCATGTCTCCTCTGTTTGCAAAAGTGAAAACGTCCAAGCCCTTGAACTCAATAAAACTGTTTTGCTTCTACAAAACATTTTCATCAACTGGACAGAAAAACCAAGAAAAGAAAAAGCTCAAGGATGCACCAATTGAATCCCCTCCAGAAATGGTGCACTAGTGCAGACAAAAACTAGGGAACGAACCAAGGATGATGAATTATGTAAGCCAAGATCAATCACAAATCATCGTGGCCAGTAATTTAATCGCTAATGCTCTTTTCGAAGGATAGCAACTAAAGCATCATTACTTTAAGATGGAAGACATGAATCATCTTATAGACCAAGGAATTGCAGAAGCTCAACTTCACACTCTCCGTTCCCTCAAAACTACACAATGCGAGATAGTCCATTCACTTTCCCCTCTCTCTGTGACCCAGCAACAAGAAGAACGGCTTCGCGGAGCAAAATCGATCTGGAAATGCAATGTTTGCGCTCACACAATGACACAAATCCACCAATGCAGAGAGAAAAAAAAGAACATCAAAACAGTTTCCCTAAAGGAAAGAATTGAAGATACAAGCACACCCGGCAAGAACAAGAATCATCATCGATCAAGAAAGCAAGAAATCAGCAACTGGGTACCTGGAATTCGGGGAGAGGCTTGGGCGGAAGAAACTCGGAAAATGGTCAAAACAAGTCCCACTCACAAACCCCACAAACAAAAAGAAAGAAAAGCCAAAAACCGCTCCTGTTTTTGGGAGGTCTCTCTGCCAAATGAGACTCAGAAAGAGAGAATGCTCGTGAAAGATGACGAGGACCGCACGGAGGTAGCGAATGACAGTTGCCCCGCTCTCTCTCTCTCTCTCTCTCTCTCTCTTCTCTTCTCTTCTCTCTCTCATGCGATCGCTTTAAACGGATCGAACAGATGGAAGGCGCCGAGGAAAGGCAGAAGGAGTTGCGCAGGAGGCTCTATTTTCGTGCTGTCCTCCCCAGTTTTTTGACCGTTGGGTTTTGGGCTCCTTTTAAAGTTTGTGTCTTTTCTTTTTTTTTATTTCGTTTTAAATGTTTTTGGGTTAATATTCTGCATTTGCAATGCAGAGCAATCCTTTCTTTTGTTTTTGTTTTTGTTTTTCTTTTGATAAATATACTGAAAGTCCTAAAACTTGTCATGAAAATGTAATTGAGTCCTAAAATTTGTCAGAAAGTGCCATCGAGTCGTTAAACTTTCAAAAAGTGCAAGCGAGTCCTAAAATTTATCACGAAAGTGCAATTGAGTCGTTAAACTTTCAAAAAGTGCAATCAACGGAAGGACTTGATTGGATCAATTTGACAAGTTTTAGGACTTGATTACACTTTTTGAAAGTTTTAAGACTCAATTGCACTTTTTGACAAGTTTTAGGATTTAATTGCACTTTTTGAAAGTTTTAGAACTCAATTGCACTTTTATGACAAGTCTTAGGATTTCTAATGCACTTATCCCTTTTGTTTTTTTTTTTTTTGTCTTTTTTCTTTTTGGCTAAGCTTAATGCTAGGAGAAAATTCTAACCTTTTCGTTATTGAGCCTTAAATATCGATGGGGCTGACATTTTCACTTTGGTGGTTGAAATTTTAGTAGCCAATAGCTAGATCGATATTCTCTTGTAATTGGATCGTGAGTGTCGATTAATGTTAGCCTGATTACATAGTTTTTGCGCGACATGATAAACCCGTCATCAATATATAAAAAAAAAAAGCAAAAAGAAACCACAAAAAAAGGCGGCGAAAAGGCAATCAATTCCTCATCTTGTATTTTTCTATGGTTTTTGCAAAAATGGGATATGGCTTTTCCACAAATAAAACCACAAATAGAAAAACCTTTTTCAGAAGATATAACCATGATTTGGTCCCCACCCAACAAGTCTCCCAAGTTGCAAGCACAATTTGAGGGGTTTTCTTTTTCTTGTTTGTCAAGTAGTATGCCTTTTCCCATTTTTTATCGGTAAGAAAATTTACAGCTCAATCGGACCAAATAATAGAGCTCGTGGAGTTCTAAAGTTGATGAAATTTTTGGGGATTCGTTAGAATAAGGAATAATACACTTATCAAAGCAGTGACTACATATATTACTTGACAAACAGTGTACTGAAAATTGCAAAATTTTCTCAATTAATTCCTTAACAGGTGTCCCTAAAATACTCATTAACAAAATTCGAATTTTATTAGTCAAAACCAAGAAAAATAAGTACCTTCAAGAATTGAAATTCTAATTATTTGTGTGTGTTAGTAAGAGAAAAAGACATGGAAATATACAAGTTTGACAACCCAAATATCTCAATAGGGTTATCTTCTCTCTGCACGTGCAAACGCCAATCTTAGCTGATAAAATATCTGAAGGTTCCTCAAGGTTCATTCTTAACACATCACTCGATGATGAAGATTGAAGCCTCACGTTGAGAAACGACGATTCGATCTTTTTATCCCACCTTTTCTTTTTTCTGTTCCCCCTATTTTGACTCGTTGTAAATGTGGAGGAGTTTGATGAAGCAGCGAAGACAGAGACTGGCAAGCTGCCCGCAAGACAACAAGATAACACTGGACAGAGCATTAGCACCTCTCTCTCTCTCCCTCTCTCCTTCTAACTGTGTGACTCAGTGATTGCTCATCATTCAATTAGTAAGTACCCATTTGTGTACTCTCGCACGGTAGAGGAATCCAGTGCGCAACGAGGGCAATGGCTGCTCCTCCATTCTCAGCAAACTGCACTCTGCCCAAGTCTGTGCACAGCTCCAGAGGATGTGACTTCAGAGCCAGAGTGACGAGGCTGCTCTTTTTCCAACACCCACTTTTGGTTTGTTCTAGAAGAAACTTCCATGTCCGAAATGTGGCTAGTGACCAAAAGCAGGGGCTTAAAGAACCCCTCGCTGGTGGAGGTTAAGTAACTCTTCTTCTTCTTCTTGTTCTTGTTTAGTTGATGTTGCATTTGTTGCAGTGAAAACTATCAACATGTAGCCTTTAGTTAGTGATTGCGTGTGCACGCAACTGCGTAGGATTTTGTTTGAGTTTAGTTATTCTCTGCTGATTTCTTTGTGTACGTTTGGGTCTTTATTGAATTGCGTAGAATTTTGATGGTTTGTATTCCAATTAGCTCTCAAGAGTTGCTTAAATGTGCTGACATGTTCTTCTGAACTGAATTTGCCCATTTAAGATCTATAAATTGACTTGTCAGGTTGCCGCGTATAGGCATTTGGATTCACTAAACAGTTGATCATGAAATATGGATAGACATCAGTGGCGCGAAAAATGACAACTGATCGCCTTGACGATCTATCACTGCATGAAGGGCTGTCTTTTTTTATGACCGAGAAGAAAGGTCCTCTCTTGTTGGACAGATGGGTCGACCATCTTCCTTTTCCTCTAGAGGGAACTAAAGACTTATCAATTTTGTTGCCTTTGGTGTCACTTCTTTTAGGACGAGACTTAATCTTACTTGACCGATTGCGTTTTAGGTGTCCTTTGGCTTTTGTTTGCCGAGAGAAGACCTTTTGATATGTGTACCTGCAATTTTGTCCAATGTAGTTCCAAAAGTTGTCTTTCACTTTGTAGTTCCAGGCACACTGGATACTTTTGTCACAGATTCAGCATCCATTGCCTCGAGTATCAAGTACCATGCTCAGTACACCCCATCTTTCTCTCCAGAGAAGTTCGAGTTGCCAAAGGCACATATTGCCACTGCAGAAAGTGTTCAGGATAACCTTATAATAAACTGGAATGCTACTTATGATTATTACGAGAAGCTGAATGTAAAGCAGGCATATTATCTGTCTATGGAGTATCTACAGGTTTGTGGTGCAATATGTGCTATTTTGTCATTCATGACAAGCTTCAGGTTTCACGTGTTATTTGTTCATAGATTTGAAGGAAAACATAAATCCTCCAGGGCAGAGCACTGCTAAACGCAATTGGTAACTTAGAGATTTCTGGGGCTTATGCAGAGGCTTTGAAGAACTTGGGGCACAATTTGGAGGATGTGGCTAGCCAGGTAAGGCCATTGAATGACCTTAAATAGCCCATGTTTGGGTTTGGTCTTTCAAGTACCGTCGGCAACTTCCAGTGTCAAGTTTCAGTTAGGTTTTCTTTTTGGCCAAACAGTCTTAGTTGGTTCATCGCATCTAATTTCCGCTGTTAAATGCCATGGGGCATCCTCTATCATATGTTGCATCGTTGCTGAACAGTATAGCTAAAACCAACATCCCTTAATTACACTTGTTTATGTCTATACCCAAAGTATACGACATTAATAAGGTTCCCATCTTTGGTCCCTCATCAAAATGTGGAGACACTATAGATCGGATGCCTAAACTTTGAGATTCTCTTGCCAGTTTCACATAGCCTCTCATGGTTGTCGAATTAATTTAATTTGCCTCACCTTTAATCTCTTGTTAATAAGCTTTACATTTAGTCAGTCTATTTGTACTCCTGGCATTGTTTCCATTTTGTGTACTGTACTTCTGGAGTCTGGATGATGGAGACAATCTGATTACTCATGTACTGTGATTGCTATTCCAAAAGAACTCTCATTTTGCCTGGTGAGTATTGTCTCTAGCTAAAATTCTCGAATTGATGATACCTAGGAACGAGATGCTGCACTTGGAAATGGGGGACTAGGGAGGCTCGCTTCCTGCTTTCTTGACTCTCTAGCCACCCTCAACTATCCTGCTTGGGGATATGGGCTTAGATACAAGTATGGCTTGTTCAAGCAGAACATTACAAAAGATGGCCAAGAGGAGGTTGCAGAAAATTGGCTAGAGGTATGAAAACTATTTATCTTTCCACAAGGCAAAGCATATTTTCTTTGAATGAAGACATTGCTCAGAGTATCACTCTGACAGTGGCTTGAATCATTTTTGCTTTTTGTTGACTACGAACTGTTCCAAGCAGATGGGAAATCCATGGGAAATTGTGAGAAATGATGTTTCTTATCCCGTGAAGTTCTATGGCGAAGTCATTTCTGGACCCGATGGGAGTAAAGAATGGGTTGGGGGAGAAAATATAGTGGCTCTTGCCTATGATGTTCCCATTCCAGGATTCAAAACTAAGACCACCATCAATCTCCGACTTTGGTCTACAAAGGTTGCTTCGGAAGAGTTTGACCTGGCTGCTTTTAATGCTGGAGATCATGCCAAAGCATATGCGGCCCTAAAGAACGCTGAGAAGGTACAAAGGATTATTTTGGAGAAGTTACACCTCCTTTAGAACTTTGTATGTAGAACTTGCACAAGAACAAGGTGTCTAAAAAGAAATTGTATTCATAAAATTGACAATGTTGAGAGGTGTGTCTTTCTTGTGGATTCTGCTGTCACCACACTGCATAAGTGAGTAAAATATAGGAACTGTTTTTCTGCTTTTTACCAGTCAATTTATTGTTTAGATGGTCCATGCGACACAAATATTTACGGGGTAGTTACACATGACATGTTTAATGTACAACGACAAAATAATAACTGAATTCCCGTTGTGATCAGATTTGCTACATATTGTACCCTGGGGATGAGTCAATTGAAGGAAAGACTCTTCGATTGAAGCAGCAGTACACCCTCTGTTCTGCTTCTCTTCAAGATATCATCTCTCGTTTTGAAAGAAGATCAGGGGATGTTGTGGATTGGGGGAAGTTGCCCGAGAAGGTTGCTGTCCAGATGAATGACACTCATCCTACACTCTGCATTCCTGAACTGATTAGAATATTAATGGATGTCAAGAAGTTGAGCTGGGAAGAAGCTTGGAACATCACTAAAAGGTATTACATATCATGGCAGCGTTGTGATCTCTTGATAGCTATTGATCTGCATGCGCACGCATTGTAAATGCGATCATCATTTTCTGATCACTTCAGACTTCCAGTTTTCCCAGCCATCTCATGTTTTGTGTCTCTGATTTCTTGTTTTTGACGGTTCTGTCAGGACTGTGGCCTATACAAACCATACTGTTCTACCTGAG